TCGGCGAACGCTCATATTGGGGTTACATAGGGATAATGGAAAAGAAAATGGAAATTACCATAGTATGTTATCATATTTGCGCATCTTGCACTCACAGCTTTGCCTGGAATGACCGTGAAAATGCAGGTTGAGATCGCCGGCCTTCGATAGTTATGCCAAAAAATGGGCGACCATTGAATGCAATGCTGACGGGAAGTTGCAAATCCTTGCCCTGCACATATCACGCACATGGTGCACATCGACAGGCACCTTCAGCTGAAGCATGATATTTGTCATCAGTGTGCATGTTGTGTCTCCATAGTCTTTGGCTCGAAATTAATTTTAGCCGGAGACGGGATCCATAGCCAGAACTTGTGGTCCTTGGAAGCTGAGGGCAGATTATCAGGCCGCGCGCTGGAGAGCTGTTAAGCATCATGTTTGTGTTTCTATCACTATTACTATTATTGCTAGTATTTTTCTTATTATTACTAGTACTATTATTTCTGTTGTTACTATTGCTACTGTTATTACAACTCTTATTGCTATTATTCTGAGTATCGTGCGCACAGTCGTGATAATCTGATAATGCTGAGGAAGGAGCGCTCTGCTCAGCCCGGATACAAGATGGCGCGCGGGTCTTGGTGATCCTTTAGGCCAAAAGGTCCTCAAAGTTTGAGGTGCGTATGGTGGCCAGATCATGACCAAGAAGACATTTTGTTGATACGTTCTCATGTTTCAGCTGGTTCTTGCATGTTCCTAACAGAGTGGCCTGCCTCGGCCCGGTACGAGCCACAGCGTCAAGCAAGTGAATATGAGTGAATGCTTGTCGGATGCATGTTGTCTGTTTCTTGCTGACCCAGGACCGCCGAGCCCAGAATATGCGAAGGCCGGTATCTGCATCTGTCTGTCCCCCCCATAGAATCAGAGCATTTGGGGTGATCGTCAAGCATGATGGATAGAAACGGTCTGAGACCGAAGTAAGCACCTCACCCTGCCCAACCCTCAGTTCCTACGAGGTGCTACTCGTACGAAGTAATTTGCCTGCATGACGTTCTGGACGCTTTCTAGGATTCTAGGCCACCTTTCCACATGCCTGAATCTGCACGCTGCACCGACTTGCCGTGTTAGACGAATGAGATGCAGGTGGATGCGCAAGTCCTTGTTTTTGTGTGGCTGCTCTGAGCACTGGGATCCACAAGGTGGCTCCGGCATTTGGTTACCACTTGGCGGTGACTGGGAGAGGGTCATCATCTTAGACACATACAGTAATGTTCATCGGGAACTGGCGTATGTGTAGTGGCTCATTGAAGTGATTTTGTCTGAGGACTGGCCCACTGGTGTGAAGGCGCGCTCGTGAGACAAATTCCATAGCTAGCACATCTTCAATTGGTTGGGATGATTGTTCCCGCTAGCTTGCATGTCCAATGCAGGCATCATGAACCAGCGAGCTGAGGTGGTCCTCTATTTGCTTGGTCTGCTCTACTGCTTCCTGGGGGTCGCGATTATCGCTGATGTGCCCCAGTTGCAAAGAAGAAGATGGCTAGTTAGTTATCTCCCTAGGTTTGGTAGCTAGCAGCACGCGATTTCCAAGGTGTTCATGGCTTCCATCGAGAAAGTCACATCAGTGAAGAAGCAGATCACCAACAAAGATACCGGCAAAAAGACGACGGTGAAGGCACATGGCTTTATACCCTCAGCTGGCAGAGTTTCACAGCTTGGCATCTTAGGTCTGGAATGACACAGTGGCCAACCTGACGCTCATGGCTTTGGGCTCTAGCGCTCCTGAAATCCTGTGGGGTCCTCAGCTTGCGTTTGCCCATGAGCCAGCGTTGTGCAGCGAGTGAAGTTGCAATTGTTGCTAAGGTTAAGTATTATTGAGCTTGCAGGCCACGTTCTCAGAGTGGGAGAGTGCCTGTTCAACAATGACCCATGGCCTGCACCAATCTTCTGTGACAGGGGCCAACTTCTACTCTGGGTCTCTTGGTGCATCTACAATCGCTACAGCCTTAGCCCACTCACATGGGGTGAAGGTCGGGATCACCGCTGTCACGCTGATTGCGTGGCCAAGGTGGGTAGCGCCGCTTTCAACCTGCTAGGCATCACAGCCGTGCCTATGCTGCATCTGAAGGAAAGCGGCCGGCCAATGCCTGCTAAACACACCACTTGAGGTTTGTATCGCCGCGCTGCCAGATGGTGAGATCAAGATAATCAAGGCGGGGTGTCCTATTGGGACTGCTCTGCTAAGTTTACGCGTAAGTTTAGCACTTGTAGCATATGCTAAGGACCGCAAAGGAGACTTCTGAAACAGTTGGCACGCAGACAAACTCTGCTGATCCAGGACCGGAAAGTATTTGCCATCACCGGCACGTTCTCGGTTTTTGCTTACTTGCCCTGAACTCAGTTGGCCAAGCAGTACTGACTTAGGAGGCTGAGGCTGACAGCTAAAGCATGAAGCAGCAGAGACTGTTGAGCTCCAGGTGGCTGCTCATCATCCTCCTGGCTTTCACACAGGCATGCTGCTCCGTCCTGCTTCGCTGAATTCAAGGGCGTAAATCAAGTTGAAAATACATTTGTGTAGTGAGCGGTCAGTCAGAACTGCACACACAGCGGGTGGGAAGTCTGGTGAGTTATCTGGCAAATGGATAGCCTTGCTCCTGAGTTATTACAAGTGACAGGACATGGTCGAGCCATGGGAAGGGGTCGTCACGTTTCTTTTCTTCCCTTTGCTGGTGATTCTATCGTCCAAACCTCAGATGTGGCAACAAAGCCAGGAATGTGTGGATGGGGTTCCAGAGTCAAGGCATTCCAAACCTTGCCTTCAGGTACATGGCAGATATTGGGATGTTCGGCAAGACTCGAGAACCTTCAAGTCACATCGTGTGGTCTGAGGCACCTGCGTGGCATTGTCTGCGGTTGTTGGCCACTGGAGTAAGCGTCCGGAGTTGTAGTTCTGAAGCTGTGGAGGCTACGCCAGAGCAGCTGGCTGAGCTCATGATGCAAGTGCGACGTGACTTTGGTGGTGGAGCGCTGAGCAAGACAGATCAGAGAGGGCAGTCTGGAATTTTTGGTGCTGCACATTATTTTTCTTTGGTCATTCCACCAACGAGGCTTTAGGCTACAAGTAGGATGACTAAAGTACGCTGTCGAGCTGGCCCATGCATTGCCCAAAGCCAAATTGCAGCACCTGGCCTTGTGGTAGAAGACTCCATGCAG